TTTAGTAATTTGCCCTCCCCTAATAGTCATGACAACCGCTCTATTACAATCTAGATTACTTACGTCTTCATTGAATTGGATTTGTGATGCCAGCTCGAGATCAAGACATGACGGTGTGTTTAAAGTAGTTTCTGGTCTATGCTGATCATCTACATGTACCAAGTGTTCCTAATTTCACAATAAAATTACTTCAACAATTTCTTTGTAATGGTTCTTATAACTTTTAGATGTTTTTGTTTATCATTTTCTCAATAAAATCGTTTTTGACATAAGCTTAACTTAGTTAGGCGTATCAACATGTTGTATTCCGACGACTTCCGTGTCTATGTTGACCTCGTCCTCTACGCAAAGATTTTGTGTTTCTGCGATGCTTTCTTTTATTTCTTTGAGCGTCTAAATGAAAAGCGGCATCAGAAAGAATATCAAGGAACATACTTGGGTTTCTTCAGTGCAATTATATAGTGTACCACGTAAGCTTACATTGCTTTTGATTAAAATTAGCTCTAGTTAAATTGAAAAATAAGTTAACCTTACCCGGCGACGGCTTCGATCACTGACTTTCTCCGCTGTTGTTGTTCCTTCATTACTTTCTGTAAAGCCCCAAATTGATGGCAACGAACCTTTTATAAGTCGTCTTTGCTGCCCCTCAACATGAAGTGCTCAAGCAAAGCAGTCATCGCTAAAGTGCTTAGAGCAAATGCCGAACTTTCCTTTCGGATCGAAATTTGTCCGGTGTAACCGGACAAATCTTTTCCACTTATCGGCCTCGGACTTAAGTGTTGGCGATTTGTGGACAGAAATCCCTGAGTTAACGTCAGTAACGTTGGAACAGCCGTAAACTACACAACGCCAAGACTACGCTAGAAGCCCTGTATATTTGACACAAGCGATAGGTTTGTTTTGTACTAATGACGTCATACTTCCATTCGACCCATCCTCCTTGAGCCGGAAAGGTGAGTCAGGCCAAGAATGGCGAACGTAAACGAAAGTCGTTATATTTAATACTTCCTTTAAGAGTTTCAAGACAAAACTTCGTAGAGTGGTTATTCGTTTATTTAACTTTGTTTGTGAGAAGTTTCAGTTTGTAAGATTAATGATTCAGGATTTTAAAAAAATGCTCCCAGATACGTCCAAGTACCCCTTTAATAGACTCGAACTATATCGGCCTTTGAATTCAAATTACCTGTAACTCCATATATCTGATATATCTCATGCCTAATACTCTATTTAAAATATCAGTTTGGRCAGCTTTCAAAATCATCAAACAGTATGGATTTAGCTTGGATTTACAGTGTCAATGTGTTATTTAATAGTGCCGGACACGACCTGTCACTATTAGCATATTATATCAGTTTAAGTGCAGCATCACGCAATGTAAATACTTGAGCACAACACGCCAGCCTTAGATTTGACTAAAATGTACGTAAAACTCTTTACTCAGAGTGCCAAATCGAATAAAAACTACATAAAATTCCTTACGCGACATGCCAGGCTGACATTCGAATAAAAACTACGTAAAATTCCTTACGCGAGGGAGTTAATATAATAACAAAATTTGTTGAAAAAAAGATATATATATCAAGAAAAGTTGTCGTCATTAACTACATAGGATGAAATTAACTTTTCATACACAACTTTTTCATATATAACTATACTTCCGACTCACAATTTCGTCATTGATTAACGACGACAAACGGCCTAGGAATAATAGTGAAACTCAACTAATCGTTGTTGATTAACGACGACAAACGGCCTAGGAATAAAAATTAAACTTCAAGTGGTCGTTGTTGATTAACGACGACAAACGGCCTAGGAATAAAAATTAAACTTCAAGTGGTCGTTGTTGATTAACGACGACAAACGGCCTAGGAATAACAGTGAAACTCAACTGGTCGTTGTTGATTAACGACCACAAACGGCCTAGGAATAACAATTAAACTTCAAGTGGTCGTTGTTGATTAACGACCACAAACGGCCTAGGAATAACAGTGAAACTCAATTGGTCGTCGTTGATTGACGACCACAAACGGACTAGGAATAACAGTGAAACGGCTCAACTGGTCGTTGTTGATTAACGGCGACAATCGGCCTAGGAATAAGAATTAAACTTCAATTGGTCGTCGTTGATTAACGACCACAAACGGTCAATCGGTATAGGAATTATGGTAGAACGAAACTCAGTTACGTCGATGATTAGTTCAGTCGAGATTAGGTATTGATATCCCATTTTAATATTATATCAATCAGGATGGAAGATAACGCGGTATGCCTAGCGGTAATAACAAMAAATTCATGCAGTGGATGGCTTTATACATTCTTTATACCCATTTACTTCATGACATTTACTTTTACCTTGTTACATTTACCAAAACAAAACAGATAAACAAAAAAAACGCTATTGTGCCTTGAAGAAATTTTACTCTTTCAGTAGTATCTATTTTCTTTTACAATGAATTGCGTGCTGCCACTGTACTGCCGGCTCTACATTACTATGAAGTAACGGCCGTTTTATTTAGTTTTGGTTTTATTTACTGATGTTTTTACACACTTCTTCAACACATATTGTGTTAGTTCATAMTATCGACCCATGTAAGAGAATCCGGAGAGCTAGAGGATTCCGGATTCCGAAACATTGGATTCCGTATTTTAAGCCTTGAGATTTCGGATTCCAAAGAATTTTTGTTTTTGCATTTCAAATTTTTGCTGGATTCTGGATTTCAAATATTTAGATTCCGGATTCCAGGATGCGGATTCCGGATTCCAAAGCTAATTTTTTTACTGGATGCCGGATTCTTTTACATACGGCGAATAATATTTCGTTTAAAACACACATGCATAATCATTATAGCATGCAGGGSTCGAAAGTATATGAACTGTTACTTTCGAGACATTAGGCACGTGAACTCCAAACTAAATCGCCATTAAATTTTCCCCCTATTTTTCAATAATAACCATAACAAATTGATTAAACTAAACGTACATCCGAGCTGTTAACTGTCGGGAGCCAGTCATCCCATTCCTGATCCTTACTACTGAACCTCACCAGGTAACCTTGACTTTTGTTGTAAGCRATAATCTTTCCCCTCAACCATCCTAAATATTTCATTTGTCCATTGTCTTCCTCTTCTTCTTGGTATTCTACTTSAACTGTGGAGTTGATAAGGGCCTTTCCGCTTTTACGCTTGCAGTGCGACTCGATATGGCGTCGCTTGTCTGGCGGACCACTTTCCATCTCCATGCTCCCTTTTCCCAAGCTGGACCTCTTTCGTTTTCTTGGAGTACAAGTATAGGATGTGGTGATGTTTTTGGAGTTGCCACAGACTTTCACAGCATGTAGTCTGTCTTCCAGATAAATATTCTCCAGAAGAACGTTCAGATTTTTGCTGTTTTCTGTTATTGACTGCCTGTTTATGGACTCMACTGGGTTGTTGGTTTTCGGTGTTTCATTCCATTCTTCGACGTCTCGTTTCGTAAAAGCTTTCGTGAACATCGTGAGGTGTCTTTCTCGGGTCCGCCAACTGGTCCAGTGCGAGAGCTTTTGCCACTTCTCCGTGGAGACAGATTTGCTTATTTCTTTTTAAGACGTGCTTAAGTATGGAGAAACATCTCCTAGGGGCCTTTTTCCGCAAAGTACATCAAAAATCTTTAGAACCTCCTCTTTACTGTCAACTTCCTCTATCTTTCTGCCAAGTGTCTTGAAAATGTTGGCTTCTTCTGAAGAACTAGTCACAAGACCCGACACTTTGTTAACTGATCGGATCCAATGAACCGAGCATCCGCGTATTATCTTCTGTGCAAGATCCTCCCCTATCACTTCTTTAAGACCATTGTACTCAGCGTCGTCGAAATCAACCATGATTTGCTTCAGATTACTACCATTAGCAAACTTTTTGAATTTTGAAACAACAGAACTAAAGATGGAGTATGTCATACCGTCCATTTTATCCATGACCGACTGCTTGATAGAGGAGTGTTTGAGAATTAAAGCAGACAAAGTTGAAAAGGTAAGGAAAGTCTGTGTTACTGGTAAAAGTTACATCCAAGAATAAATATTCGGCTTCTGATAACAATTTTGCTTGATAAGGGGCCATGAAAAATGCAAGTTTTCTTTGCGGCGTGAATATATACTCTTTACCTTCAATCTGATATGTGGACATYATGTCATTAACCTGGGTGGTCAACTCTTGATCTGCTGAGTCTTGCTGATTTTCAATTTTAGTCCGGATTTGTTTTGAAAACTCAACTATATCGGTTAGTGCTTTCATACCTGAAGTAGGCGCGTCACTGTGTGCTAAGGCAATAGTACCTTTCTTATACGTACCTTTCTTATACGTTCCGGATTGCAAGCAGCTGGGGATATCTCAGCTGGTAAAGTACCAATCCCGAGACC